CTCTTATAAGCCACACAGTCAGACATAAAATTATTAGTGATCGCTATGTATATGACATGCAGCTTAAACGAAATGCTAATACCCCTGCACCAGAGTCATAAAGCAGCACCGATCTTTATGTTGCCTCTCGCTCCAGCGTGCATTTGCTCATTTTATTTCTGCTCTTGGCAAGATTTAAATAAAGGCTTTTTTTTTTCCTTTGCTCTACAAATGTTTGCGGCAGCTATATTACACTGACTTAACACAGCATTAACTACAGTACAAATACATACTCCCTAGATTGCTTTTTGAGAAAGGAAAATGTTTATGATCTCTATCACAGAAACACTGAATTCATCAGCCTAAAATTTATTTAAAATGTCAGATGAGTTTGATAAAAATCTATATCTGGAATTCATTTCTGAACAGTGTAGGGTTATTACTTTGACTGCAGAGAAAAAAAATAATATACCCTAAAAAAATGTCCTGGCTCTCTCAGAATGTAAAGTTCAAGTTAAGCCATGTATGGCTACCGTGGGTTTATGCTGCAGTATGTGCTTTAAAAAAAAAAAAAAGCATTTCCAGCTTGGTTGCCCATCTCATTTGAGTAAAATTTTTAGTCCCAATTCTGCAATAAAACAAAATATCAGTTCTAAGTGAAAACAACTGAGAAGCATGGGCTGAGAGGAATATAATTTTATTATGCTTTCTTTTATGACCCAGGCACTAAACTGAGGCAGGGCATAGAAGAAACATTTCTAGACAGAGATAGGACAGAGCGGCCAAGAAAAGTAACTAAATGCTGGAGAAAATCATTGAGCTATTTTAAATCTAATTAATTTGATGAAATATATTTCTATTGTTTCCCGATCCCAAAATAAATGAATGCAATAATAGAATGATGAGTTCATAGCTTACAATGTAATTTTCATTTTTGTCTTAGGAAAGCCAAAGAACACAGAAACAGTGGAGATATTTTCTCCCTTCACCCTGGAGAGCCAGAAGCCTTCACATCACGTGTGTCAGAGCTGGGACAGACTTTTACAGGGATTCTAACTTTCTCTCTTTACAAATGAGGAGCCCAGGGTTTGGAGATATGAAGCAAGTTACCTGTGGTTACAAAGCTAGCTGGAGGCAGACACAAAATGAGAATACGGGTTGTCTGGCTCACGCTCACCCTCTTGTTCTCTCTGCCTTGTTTTCTATTACTAAGTGACGGAAAGGCACTGAAATACAACAGTACGGAAATCTATTCTATTCGCAATATGCTTCTTGTCACCTAATGATACTGAATTGATCGAATCATGGATTTTACTGCTTGAATATTTTAAAGTTCTGTAGCTAAACAGAATGCTGCAGAAATTGAGACTCGAGAAACTCAAGAATAAAATTAGTGCATTGTCAAGTCTGTAGAATCATTCCAGTAGCATTCAAAATACTTTGGGGAGCACAGATGGTCCCCTGGCTAATTGCACAGTTTCTAAGGCTGGTTCCAGAGCCATGAGGTGGCATCCTCACAACATGTGGCTGTAGCCACTATGGGGCACTGTGCACCCAAGGAAAATACACTGGCAAAACACTCAAAAGTCTGGGGCTGCCAGTTGCTAGAGGCGGGACCTGGAGACTATTAACCTGTGCCATCCTCAGTTCTCGCAACTGTAAAATAAGAAGCGTAATTAACTGCTCCAAACATCTCACTGGGTAATGTTGGGGATCAATAGAGACTGGGTATAAAAGTGATATGGAGCTTGGAAGAGATATTATTATCATCATTGTGCATGCCCCTTTCTCTTATTTGGGCAGACAGCATGGAAGCCATAGAACAATAATACTTCTCAAAGTGTGGTGCCTAGTACTTCCTTAGAATCTCTAAGGATGTGTGTTTAAAATGCAACTTCCTGGGTTTTACCCCAGACTTAATGAACCAAAATCTAAGCGGGTGGCCCATGAGCCTGCCTTGTCAAAGCTGCCCTTGCGTTGCATGCCCTTAGAATGGCCACAGTGCAATGCCAGAGAAGACCAGGAAAAATGGGCGACTGCATCCCGTGTGTGCCTCCCTCCGGGGATGGTCTGGCACCTGGACAGAGGTTCCCACAGAAACACTGTTAAACACACTGCTTGGAATCACCAAACTCCCCACAGATGCCTGTGCGACCACAGTTGTATAATTCCCATTCCGCCACCAAAACCAACCTCGCTCCCCACAACACTGTAAACCCTGGAGAGCACAGGCAATGCCAGACATGCCTACATGCCTTTGCCAGGGCTGTTTTCTTAAGCTTCTCTGGTGGCCCTCAATCTCTTTCTGTGCTCTCATGGCACTTCCTACAGAATTAGTCCTCCTTGGGCAGAACCTTTCAATGACCAGTGGTTGGCCCATTTTACTTGCAATGTTTGATGTAAAAATGAATGAATGAAAGAAGGAATATAGTATTAATTATACTTATAAAAATCAGACCATAGCATTTAACGCTATTCCCTTTACAAAATGTATTCACATTTCCATTTGAGAAATCAAAGATAACAAGCATTTGAGTCACAAATATCTGGATTTAAATATATTTCCAACGTCAGTTTTTTTTCATTTATTAGCTGTATCAACTTGGGCAAGTTATTAAGCCACAGATCAGTTTCTTCAACTGCAAGATTGAGGTGATATCTCAGAGATTTTAATTGGGCTCTATATGAAAGGCAATTAATGTATTGCCAGGCACAGATGCTCAAAAAATGTTTATTTCCTTCTTCTCCTTTTGCCTTTTCACACTCTCTAATGGCTTCTGTAATGGTCTACAATAGCCACAGCTTGTAACAAATCTTCCAAAAGGAACTTCTGCACTAAATCGCACCCTGTGGTGCACAGATAAATGTTTTACAATTGTCTCTCAGGGAGGTGGAGGGAAGAAAGAGCCCCGATGGTTGGCGTTTGCTTTTTCCATGGTGTAAATACCTCCACCACAGCCAATTTCAAACTACTCCATAGGATAGTACTCAACAGGATTGGGAAAAGATCTGCAGAAGCTCGTCATTGTATACAGTATTTCCACCATACAAATACAAGGAGAGTAAATAACTTCAAGAGCACAGATAATAATAAAATGAAGTAAAATAATTAGGAGGTGATGAGTGTTGAGTATTTACTATCTGTGTTTTCAATGCTATTTAATAATTGGCTCACGAAATTCCTGAAAATCTATGGGCCAGATCCAGCACACCACTGTGTCTCACCCTATCAAGAAAACTCTGACCTTATGGGAGTATTAACTCCAGGTACTTCAGCCTAGCTAGAGTGCTTTATTTATGCAGGACCCTTGAAACAGATTCAAACAGTACATGCTTGGAGTTTCTACAGGGATGACATGTGGCTACAAAACAGTATGTGTCTGAATAGTCCTGATATATTGTACATGTGCATTAGTTCTTTCAGGCAAAAGCCCCATCTGTAGAGAAAGAAAGCCGTATGGTGCTTAACACACCGTGTGCACCCAGGCAATAAGGGCGATAGAAAAACTCATTGTACCTCTTCTCTCCATCACATCCTTTTACATACATTTATTTTTACCTTAACTTTTACCTAGGTCCATCCTCATTGTAAGATATTATGCCATGATGTGACAGTTTTTTAGGATCCATGTCAGACATGTGACACTCTCACTTTAGACTTGAAGAAACTAAGGTACAGAGGAGGAAAGAAAGTTGCCCACAGTTAGGCCTTACATTTGTACAAATCAGCATTGCTCTTCGAAGCCTTTAAGGCACTATATTTTGTTTGCCTATTCATTTGCACAGACACCGAGTCATTTCAAAAGAGACAATAAAGTATGTTTGTGATTTACAAAATTTTGTTTGCAGCCTGCTCAGTGCAGAAGTGACATTTAATGACTCTGAATTGCATTTGCATTACCACAATAGAGCCATCATGTTTGAAGACTTGCTCAGTAGTAGAAGTGGCAGAAATTAACTTTTATTAAAGGCTTATAATGTACCAAGTGTGATACCATGTAAACAATAAACATGGCTTCATTTAAACAGGAGAACAACCTATGAATTAGGTAATATTATAGCTTCAATTTTATGATGAGGCAATGGAGGCTCCTTGAGGTTAAGAACCCGTTAGACTAGGGCCGGCTCTCTGGGCATGTGACCCACACTCAAAAGGGCAGTCACATAGGGTCCCACACTCAAAAGGGCCACACTTGTTTTCATGCTCTCCCATCACTGGCTTGAAGTTCTCAGCAATTCTGTCTTTGACCTTGTGCTCTGTAAGTGAAGTCAGAGGAGAGAGAAGGAAATATGAAGCACACATGGGTAATCTGTGTGTGTCAGGCAGTGTCCACATTCCTTGCTGCCTGTTCACATACAACACTGGAAAGTCCCAAGGGTGCAGGAGTCTAAGGAGGCCACGATGCATGGGAGCTTCGCAAGACTCAAAACGAGGTCAAGGTGAACATGGCACCTCTATGACAGGACCCAGCAGGCCTGAGAGGTCATGCTTTCTGCTAGAACCAGAACGGGCTTCAAAAGCAAAGCAAAAAGAAGGCATTTGTGCTCCAAGAAACACATCGGCTAAGAACTGCTTAATGTCCTTTCTCATTCCCTGTAGTAGCCAATCACTTGTGCTCGAAATGACGACACAGAGAGCCCTGCCTTACTCATCAGTAAGCGGAAGGTAGACTGTGTTGGTAGAACTGCTGGTATCAAGAAGAGAAATAAAAGTAGTGGAGTTAGTTTTCAACAGTGTTTCCATTGTTTTGGCCATAAAGAAATACATAGGCAGGTGCCAGCTACGAAATACAAATTGTGTCATTTCAGTGATGATGCAAATGACTTAAATGCTCTTCTATCTGCATATAAAATGGGCATTGCACAAGTTAAAGACAAACAGAAAAATTCATGCTAATAATTAAAATTCTAAGTTTTCATTACTTAGAACATTAAAAACACCGTGAAAATTCAAGAGAGAGAAGAAGGGAAGGGAGACAAAGAAGGAGTGAGAAAGGAAGGAGGCAAAACATTTTTCATACCTTTAAGGGGAATTTCTTCTTGCTTTTTGAACAAATGGCACCACATTTTAATTTCACATGAGGTCCCACAACCATCCCCAGTTGTCACATCACTTGGAAGTGGCAGTCAGTATCTGAACCCACGTTGACTCCAAAGCTCCCTTCTTTGATGCCTCCCATTTAAAGCAACAGGGCTCTTCGGTTTCAGAAAATGTGCGTCATTATTCCACTGATGGCAATCGGGACATCTGACAGTTCATTGTTTATTCTCTTTCCCTTTTCTTGTTGATTTTTTCCCCCTTCTCTGAATCATTTAAGCTGTACTTTCTCCATTCATTGAAGAAGTATTCATTCTGTGCCAGGAACATCTAACTCTGTTACCCAACAGTGTATCAGCAAAGCCTACAATTTTAGAGACAAAAAGGGCTAAGATATTTCTAAGAAGCTTAAAAAAAAAACCAAAAAGATGACAAGTTTTATGTAACTTCAAAGTCTTTCTGCTTTTTTCCCCTAATACTTAATTACCTGTCTAACCAGAGGCTACACTTCATGGCAGACCTAACCTTGCAGAGCACTGGTCAGGAAGAAGGAAGGCCCAGAGTGAGCCCTGGCCGCTAAGCAGACATTTGGTTTCAAAAAGGGTTTGTTCCATGGAACACCAAATGTGGCCTAGAAGCAGCAGATTAAAATTCTGTGTGCTTATGTCCCACCAAGGACTGAAAGTCACGGAATTTCCATCCAAGACCTTTCTGTTCTTTCTTCCTGAAGCCCCCTAAAAACCACTATCTGGATTGTAAGTTAAATCAACCGTAGTCACTTCAAAGAATAAGGTATTATTATATAAAAAGGTAATTCTGGTATCTCTGGCCAGCCATCTTTATTCTTCACAGTCAAGAAAATAATCAACAGAGCAAACAGACAACCTACAGAATGGGAAAAATTATTCACAAGCTATACATCCAATAAAGAGCTAATAACCAGAATCTACAAAGAACCCAAACAAATCAAGGAAACATCAAACAACCTCACTAAAGAGTGGGCAAAAGACAGGAACAGAAGCTTTTCAAAAGAAGATAGACTAATGGCCAATAACACATGAAAAATTGCTCAATGTCACTGATCATCAAGAGAAATTCAAATCAAAACCACAATGAGACATCACCCCTAACCGCAGTGAGAATGGCCTTTATTAAAAAGTCTCGTGGCCGGGCGTGGTGGCTCACGCCTGTAATCCTAGCTCTCTGGGAGGCCGAGGCGGGCGGATTGCTCAAGGTCAGGAGTTCAAAACCAGCCTGAGCAAGAGCGAGACCCCGTCTCTACTATAAATAGAAAGAAATTAATTGGCCAACTGATATGTATATAAAAAATTAGCCGGGCATGGTGGCGCATGCCTGTAGTCCCAGCTACTCGGGAGGCTGAGGCAGAAGGATCGCTCGAGCCCAGGAGTTTGAGGTTGCTGTGAGCTAGGCTGACGCCACGGCACTCACTCTAGCCTGGACAACAAAGCGAGACTCTGTCTCAAAAAAAAAAAAAAAAAGTCTCGAAACAACAGATGCTGGCATGGATGTGGAGAGAAAGAAACACTTATATACTGTTGGTGGGACTGCAAACTAGTGTAACCCCTATGGGAAATTGTAGAGAGACTGCTCAAGGAACTAAAAGTAGACCTACCATTTGATCCAGCAATGCCACTACTTGGTATTTACCCAAAGGGGAAAAAATCATTTTATCGAAAAGACACTTGCACTAGAATGTTATTTGCAACACAGTTCACAACTGCAAAGATGTGAAATCAACCCAAGTGGTCATCGATTCAGGAGTGGATTAATAAAATGTGGTATATGTACACCATGGAGTACTACTCAGCCATAAAATATGCATTAATACCTTTTGCAACAATCTGGATGGTGATGAAGACCATCATCCTAAGTGAAGTATCACAAGAATGGAAAAAACAAACACCACATATACTCACTATTAAATTAGAACTAACCAATCAGCACTCATGTGAACAGACGGAAGTAAAATTCAACGGAAATTATGCAGGTGGGGGGAGGGGAGGGAGGATGAGTGAAATCATAGCTAACAGGTACAATGTGCACTGTTTGGGTGATGGGCACACTTATAACTTTGACTCAAGCAGTACAAAAGCAATCCATGTAACTGAATCATTTATACCCCCGTAATATTGTGAAACAATAATAAAAAGACGTAATGCAAGGGCAAAACACCTATGTCACTTTTACCAGGCCTGCTTAAGCAACAGCCAAAAAAAAAATATCACTAGAAATGCAGCCAATTCCATTTCCTTTGACTCTTCTATTGTGTTCTTATAAGAATAGCAACAAATGCTGCCCTTGAGCCCAATACAGGTGTTCTGGCTGGCGCTTAAAAATATCATTTGTCGAAAAGAACCAGATTAGTTACTCTCATGTTACAGAGGAAGAAACTGAAGCCTAGAATATGGTTAATTTTTTTTGTGTTTTATTAAAACAAATAGAAGGGGAAAAAATGAAGAAAAGAAAAAGAACAAATCTCCCAAGGTGGAGGCCCCGGGATCTGGGACTAAGTCTGTTGACTCCAAAGCTCTGTCCTTCCTCACAGGCCGCCGCTACTGTTTACAAAGTGCTTTCACATCCTGCGAAGCTGAGTGCCACACGGATTTCAGATTAAATGTCAAATTCTGACCTCAGTTATACTGAAAATAAACTTTTCATAGGTCATAAATTTTTAGAACCGGCTGTAATAAACTAAATATCTGTGTACAAGTCCCAAAGCAAAGATAACCGCCCTGGAAGCCCCCAGCAGGGCTTCAGTGATGCTTTCTGGTAAGCCCGAAGACTGACATATCAGAGACAGAGACGAGGAGGAAATAGGATGGGAGACCAGAAATTGAAGTAATCGAGGAGAGACTCCTATACGGTAAAACTGTCGTAAATCTGGCATCTGCTTAGACTTTGGGGGCTTAAGAGACAATTATAATAAGCCCACTTGTTTCTCTTCTTAGGAAGGAAATTTCTAACCTTAGAATGTACCGTTCTTCTCTAAATTTCTGGTCCCACATGTGTGAATTGTGGCAGGAGAGCATGAATCAGGGAGTGCAATGCAGAAACCATACTTATTAAATGCATTATTCATTGAAGGAGTGTCATTATATGCTGCAGTAAGTTGACGGTAAGGTACAAAGTAGACCGGTGGCAAGCCACTGCTTGATTTTGTAACAAACTGGCGTCTACCATGAAAGAAGTTCCTTTTATTCGACAAGTATCTATGAAGGGAATTTGCTAGCCACTGGGGATACACAGGCAAACTAGATGAACTCTCATATATTAACAGTGGGGGCAGGGTGGGAGGGGCCTTGGGGGTGCGTATCCCCCATAATATCCCACAAGTACAAGACACGAACCCCAGGAGAGGAAGGCCTGGGAGGGGGCTGTGGGATCATCAGAACCCTCCATCTGGAGGGCAAGGGCACCTTCCAAACAGGTGCAACCAAGGGAAAAGGGGGCCCAGACTTCTGGCAGCTTCCTTGTGCACAAAGCTTGGCCTCCTGTACTCAGATATCCTGAGAAAAACCAAACTAGGACCACTGTGTTAATTTCCTGTAGCAAACAGAAACAATCTCCTCTCATCCTTTCATCTTGTCCCCCAGGAGCCCCCAAATAACAACTGCCCTTTGCACTCAGTGATAACTGCTCCTGTCCTAGGAAGCCTATACCTTGGAGATGGGGTGGAGGGGCCCACACCCCCTTCCCCGCTTCTCCCCTCCTTGTGCCCAGGTCTCCCAGTCAGGGAGGGGACAGGCTGTTTCAAACTGCAAACGCCCCCTCCAGCTTGCCTAGGCTTTCAGGGCAGGAGTAGGCCCTTCAAAGCTGTCAGTCAGACCTTCCAGGACATGAAAGAACCCCGTGGAGGGAAGAAAGGATTTGCTTGTTTCTTAGCTCTGCTCATTAACTTGACTGATAGGGACATGCACACTCGGCTATGCAGGGATCCAAGGCTAAAGTTTAAGCTGGGCCAGCTCCACGAGGACCCCTGCTGCCGCTCTTTCCCACACCTGCCCAGGTGGCCAGGTCTCCCATGTCCTCTCTGCACTTCACCCCTTCAGGACAGACAGCAGGACTGAACAGAGAGCCCTGCCCAGGAGGCGCCTGCTGTTTGAGCCTGGGCGTGAGCTAACCCTTTATTTATCAGCGGAGGCTGGTACAGCCACTTTCTACTTCTCCTGGTGTGGCTGACCAGTGCAATGACCAAAGGTGACCTGCCTGAGGGGAGGACAGGGAACCAGCTCCACACAGGCAGTCACCTGGGGGGAGGGGGACACACTCACAGCTGTCTGCACAGGAACCCACCTGAGCCCCCTCTCCATGAGACTGCCCACCTTTCACCTGGCCAGAGGGAGAGCTGGGGCATTATGCCTGCGGCCCGGCAGGATACTAGCCTTCTGCTGGGCACCGAGAGATGGCCTTTCTTTCCAAAAAAAGAATAACGACAGTTATTTTGGTGTGTAAACTGAATGTGTAATACCGTGTTTCCCCGAAAATAAGGCAGGGTCTTATATTTATTTTTCCCCAAGAAGACACCCTAGGGCTTATTTTCAGGGGATGTGTTATTTTTTTTGAGCATGGTACAACAATCTGCATTTATTCAAATATAGTTAAGTCGTCTTCTTCTGGAACATCATCATAACTCTCCAAACCCCAAATTCCATCCTGAATTTCTTGCGACTCTATTTAGAACCATTGGCCCCAATCTCTCATGTCAAGCAATAGAGCTCTCATGGGGCAGATGAGAAGGGCAGCTCGTCTTCTTTACCAATCCGTGGTGAAATGCATGGGTTGTGCAGATACACTGCATAGCCACACCCATAACTAGGTCTTATTTTCGGGGTATATTGTGCAAATGCTTAGAAATTCTGCTAGGACTTATTTTATGGGTATGTCTTATTTTTGGGGAAATAGGGTAGTAATTCACTAAGAGAGTGCAAACGATGAAATTACCTCTAATTACCACAGATGTTTATGAAATGTAAGCAAGTAAACCCAGGACACTTCTCGTTAGACACATCTTATTTATTACTAATTTTCTAGGATGCCATAAAATTGTGTTTACTTTCACTGCCTAAGAGTAAACCTTTTCAAAGAATATAAAGCAATTGAAAAAAAAAATCCAACAAAGAAACAAGAAAAACACTAAACCCATTATGGAAGGTGTGCCCAGGCCAAGTTCATCTCCACTCTCAAAAGCTGAGGATCCTTTTGAATCCAGTTCCAACACACAACAATAATGAGTTTCCTGAAGAGTACCCTATTCTTCAGGTTGGCAGGTTGGTTTTCGCACAGGATGAGGAATTCCTAGCTAATACAACATTCCGGAACACAATCATAGACTTTTCTAACCACATCCAGTTATCAAAAACCTTGTCCAGGAAAACAACATAATTAAAACGTACAGAGAAACCAACTGGCAATGCAAACCCTATTAAGCTGGCATAGCACGACTCATAAGGAAAATGAAAAGGGCTTGAGGTGTGCAGGTAGTAACTGAGGTCATTAAGAGAAGCAAAATAATTTTCACAGATTTTCTAATTTTAATACAATCACACGTCACTATGATATATTCTAAGAAATGTGTTGTCAGGCCATTCCATTGTTGTAGGAACATCATAGAGGGTACGTACACTAACCCATATGGTACAGCCCACTATATACCTAAGCCATAAACAGTACAGCCTATTGGTCCTAGGCTACAAACCCATACAGCAGGTTACTGGACTGAATACTGTAGGCAACTGGGACACAGTGGTAAGTATCTGTGTATCTCAATGTATCTAAATATAGAAAAGGTACAGTAAAAATACAGTACAAAAGATTAAAAATGGTACACAACCTAGGGCACTTACCATGAATGGAACTTACTGGACTAGAAGTTGTTCTGGGTGAGTCAGTGAGTGAGTGGTGAGTGAATGTGAAGGCCTAGGACATTACCATACTCTACTGTAGACTTTATAAAAAACTGAACAGTTAGGCTACACAAAATTTTAAAAACATAGTTTCTCTATTCAATAA